ATCAATTCGAAAAGTGTCAAAACATAGTATTGGAAAGTTGTTTAGTTTATTACCTCAAATTGTACAAACATTTTCTCATAAACCTAACTGCAACGGTAAGATAACATAGTTATCCCGAGACAGATCCAGGAGGCCTGAGCCTCAACTTTGTTATGTAAAAGCGAGGCTGGTAGGCCAACATTATTTTTTCTGGTACTATTTCAATCCAGGCCACTGCCTTTTGTTTCAGTATGGATCTTCCCCTTTCCCTTACTTTTTTAATGTCGTGGTTAATTTTACATTCTACAAGGAAAACATGATAGGATTCTAAAGTAAAAGCAGAAGAGACCAGGAACTCTTAAATTATTTAAATATTATCAAATACCAGTGTACAGTGCAGCTGTTAGAGCTGATAAGATATTTACTTACACCTTGCTTTAAAATCTTTTTAGGAGACAAGCACAACAACATCAGCTAATCAAAATAAAGCAGGGAATGAAGTTGCGAATGCTGTTGATGAAACACAAGCCACTTCTAATAATGCTAATGGTGAAGTACAAGCTGCTGATGACGGTGATGTTGAGATGGCCTCAGAGTCATCCACTGACAATGCCTCTATGGATGTTGTGGAAGTTGTTCCAGGCCAGGAAGCTGTTGTGCAGTCTGCTTAAGCTCCTGTCTGAAGAGATTGCTCCAACTTAGTAATTCCAACTTTGTAACTTGATCCAAGCTTGGAGTGTTGAAGCTTGAAGTGTTGTAATTTCTTTGGAGCGTTACTGTTCACATTAGTTTGGCTAGTTGAGCAATCTTCTGTATGTGTTTCTTGGTATTCTCCTTATCTCCCCAGAGCAGTGGGAGAGCAGCGGCAGAGCAATACCAGAGCAGTGACAGAGCAGTGTGGGATGACTATGACCAGGAAAAAACACAAAATAAAGACATTAATAGTGTAATGGACATACCACAAAAGTGGGAAGACAGTAAGAAAATTATGTGACTGCATCATGCATGATATTAAGAGGTATAAGAGAGTAGTTAATAAAAAAAAGTTCCTCATAGGTAGTACAAATCCAAGGTGATGAATTGCTAAATTATAGATCTAAAGAAAGTTATTTTGACATAGAGCAAAATTGTCCAAAGGGTGTGATTGGTGACAATACGATTTTCATGAACTTAGGACTTGTAAAGTGAATAGCAGAGCCTCAATTATATCTGAAATTAAACGGAAACCACAAACAGAAGCCCAATTGTAATGATTGGATGCTCGAGGGGACGCTTACCCGACTAACTTGCGACTTCGCCATGCATGAAGGTCGTTATCCGGTTTAGTAAGTTATGGCGTTCGAAGTTCGCTTTAATTAGAGAGTTTAGAGAGTTTAAGCATGACGTTTACGGCAGACGACAAACGGCAAAGATTACCCCTGAACTTTTAATATTTTCTTTTAATCCTTAAATAAACCACACAAAAGTAGAAAAATGTCTCCTACTATTCACCACAAATACAAATATTTTTACTCTACTGTATAGACAGCTGAAGACAGACGGCAAAAGTTTCATTTTTGCCGTTTGACGTAACGTCATGCTTAAGTATAAGAGAGGTTAAACATGACGTTACGGCGAACGGCAAAGATGAAACTTTTGCCGTCTGTCTTCAGCTGTTTGTACAGTAGAGTGAAAATATTTGTATTTGCGGTAAATGGTAGGAGACTTTTTTCTATTTTTGTGTGATTTATTACGGATAAAAAAAAGAATAAAAATTCAGAGGTAATCTTTGCCGTCTGCCGTAAACGTCATGCTTAAACTCTCTATGACAACAACCAACCGCGCCCGCACATTGACCAAACCATGCGCGACACGACCTCTGGGAACGAAAGGTTCCGGATATCAAGCCGAGGTGTCGTTTAAAACAATATAGTATTTAATTTTTTTTTAGCTTAGTATTGAAGATTTCCGAAAAGTTAAATGTTAGGTCAGTTTAATATTGAAATTTGTTATTTCAGATTGGAATAATAAGGTAGCTTTGTTAAAGTTCAGAGCCTGATTATACGACTTACGTATTTTGAAAAGTTTGATTTTGTAATCAACTTAAAAGTAGATCGCAAGTTTGATATTTGATAATTAAAAGGTCTGTTCATTGACAATTATTGAGAAGGCAAAAGCCCATGATTGTAAAAAACCCAATTATGATGTTTTGATTTTATACAACTTTTTAGAAAACTAAACTTGACAAATGGCAGGTACCTGAGTATGTAAACTGAATGGATTTCAAATTTGTATTTCTACGTTGGAGCTGTAAGCTTAAATCTTGATAAGTTTGTGATTTCAATAAAATGATTTCTTTGTTGGACTGAATTTTGATTTTGATATTCCGTAATAAATTGGAAATGTAGGTGTACTGATCTTCTTTCATTGCAAGGTAATCAATACAGAAACACAAAGGTTTGTTCTTTGAAAACTTACATGCAATGAAAAGTTAATGGACGTATGTCTCGTGGTAGGTTCGTATCGCACACTTCACGAGCAAAATGACCAAACATGCATTTTTCACCAGAAAGCGCGGGAAAACTGAAAAAAGTTTCCGGAAATTTCGAAAAGTGACCGTAGACATCCTGATAAGGCGTTCGCGTTTCTCAAAAGCCTCGGAAATATTTCAAGGCCGAAAACGTTTTGTACTGTTTGCATGCTTTTTCATAGAATAGCGGAAATTTCAGTCGTCTTCTCTTGCCGATTATGATCACTCCCCTAAAGGTTTAGGCTTCTCCGCTACTGACCGGGAAATAGAATCGTTAAACATAACGCGAAATACCAGTCGGAGAATAACATCGTTTGCATGAATACAAATTGAGATGAAGGAAGGAAAGATAGAGAAGAGCGAAGACAGGCAGGGTGGTTTCTCCTCCGCCGCACACGTGTGGTACAACTGAGTTCTTCTGCAGAAACTAAGTCGGTGCCAAGGAACCTTGGTTCTTCAAAATCTTGATAAATTCTCCTTTTAATATTTTACCCTTTCAGGGCATTATTTCCTTTGAAGACAATTTCTTTCCAAGATCTTAATAAACTATCAGTTGAATTTGATGCATATGACATACTTCCTTATACTGTGCATTTTTTGTTCGATGTTCGAGGAAACCTCGTGTCTCGCGCGTGGCTTTCTCGAGATGTTGGTATTCCTGTGGCCTGTGGCCGTGGGTGCCCCATGTCCCATGATGCTGTTCGTTTACCACATCAGTTCCACCATGAAAGCATGAGCTGTTTTACTCGAGCTCTGCACGGTTTAAGAATGGCGGCTCCAAGAAAAGTCGCGATAATTGGCTCTGGAAACTGGTAAGTTAATTCACTAGAGATTCGAACTCACTATTTCTGGTCTCAGTAACAGAGAAATTTACCTTCGAATCGACTTGATCGAGTGGTTCTGGAACACGTTTAGTTTAGCGGTATGCGCTTGAACTTAACTGGTTTGTGTTAATTAACTTTGTTTAGGGGTTCTGTGATATCTCGGATTGTCGGTGCCAATGTGAAAGACCATCCGAATCTATTCCAGGAAGAAGTTCAAATGTACGTTTATGAAGAGCTGGTGGAAGGAAAGAAACTCACAGAGATTATCAACACAGAACACGAAAATGTGAAGTACCTGAAAGGGTTTAAGCTCCCGGAGAACATCGTAAGTTCATAGAGATCGATTAATATTACAAAAGATCAAGAGAGTTCGCCAATGGAATGTACTAAATAAAATTTATGTCACCAGAAAATTGTGTAATTCAGAAACAAATCTGCATTTGGATGTGGTGGTAACACATGAAATCCTGCTTAGTAAATGCGAAAATGAAGGTGTTGTGCCTGTCCCTTAAGAAAACACCCGAAGCAAGCAACATAACGTCTGAGTAGGCGCTATTTTAAGGTTGTTATTCAAGCAGACGGGTATAAATTAGTGTCAAGGGCTGTACTGTGTGTAAACAGTCTTACTTAATTTGCATAAGCATAAGTATTTGTTTGTATTGCTGGATAACAGATGAGTTAGTTTGAGACAAGTGATTGTTCCATGTGTTAATCAATTTATTATCAAAAGTTTTAATTAAATCTTATTTGTTGCTATTAAGAAACATACAACGACAGAAAGGTCCAATATTTGGTTTAATTGATTAAATTCCATCCTGAATTGCAAGAGTTTTCTCATAGTTGGAACATCATGCAGGAACTTCTGTTGCACAGGCCATAGGAAATTACCTGCAATTCTGGGATTTCCAGCTGATTATCTAGGCTTGGGTTTATTGCATGAAATATGGTTGACTTTCCTGTCTACTTACAGTATTTTTGTCTAAACAAACTCGGTTTGTCAAAAAAGCCATGACCAGGCAGCAAAGATTTCATCATCATTCACTATAATTCTGCCAACTCAGCTTATTTGACTTATATCTTGTAAATATTATATTAAGTTTACTTTTGCAATTTTGCACCAGAATGGTAAATTTTATCTGTGAAATAATGGTGTTATGATTTAGAGTTCTTTGGTTATTAGGAATTCTTATCTTGTAACATGAAACCTTTATGGCCATGTAATCCACAGGTCTAAGGGTGCACCATCCAACTTTCGAGGGGGTGTGTGGGTTATTGCTATAGGCATGACTTTTTTAAGAATTACATGAACTACAATTTTTTTTCTCAGGAATTGTGTATGCATGATATATTTCTCTGCATAACATACTTTTTTGGCTCACTGAATATGCATGGCTGTTTTTGGCAGTGACTGGTCACATGCATGATTTTTTAGGTACACGTATGCTTGCAAGATAGTTTTTTGTCAAAATCACACACCCTCTGCACGCCTTAAAAATCTAATGGTTCACCACGTGAGAGGCATTAACTATTCTGAGTTGTTGGAAAATGAAAGGTACAAGGTTTCTATTTCAATATCAATTTTCATTTTATTTCAAATTTTACTTAGAAGTTAGGCTGCCCCTTCTTATATATTTTATTTTTGTGTTTCAAGCCTATATTTACCAACACATTATTCTTTTTAAATTTACAATTTTCTAACAAATTGAGGATGAAGTAAACTAAGGTAATTTTAGAAAACACTTATCAACTGGGCAGTGAGAACTATATTAATTTATTCCTTTTATAACAAATACCTTGAAAATAATTATTTACTAACCCTTTGTGTCTCTTTTATCGTAGAAAGCAACCCCAGATGTAGTCACAGCTGCAAAGGATGCAGATATTTTGGTGTTTGTTGTGCCTCACCAGGTGAATAACTTTTATTTTTATACAGTGGAACCCCGCCTCATGGTCACCTGGTTATTTCAGCCAAATTTTTATGGCCTGTTGGTGACTGTATTAACAGGAGTTCCAAGGTACTTTGGGGTCTCAATCCCTATTTTGCAAGATGTAGATAGTTCTGGGCATTTTGTCTCTTGTTGAACACAGTTGCACAGCTGCATGGGTTTTCTTTCACCTGTTGGGTTATTTGATCCATTCTTTCATTCAAAGTTTAGATCAACTTGTATGTGCAAATAGTTATTATGATATTTCATGACCTACAGTAAATTCAGGGGTTTCATTAAGGGATGGGCACCAAGCAAATTGACCGGCTGAGATGATGGTTTTGCCCAACTGGTTTGGCTATCTAGAGGAAAGTTTTTCTTATAAAGAAGTCAGTTCAAGAAGTTTTGCCTGCTTGTGAAAATGATAATCAAACCCCTGATAAATATGTACCTTGGAATGACTTGCACCCCTGAATTGATACAAGTTTTGTTTTCGATTTGTCAATGACTAAGTATAGCTTAATGTTATTTTTATATTTTTGTCTTTATCAGTTTGTGAAGAATGTTTGTTCAAAGATGAAAGATGTAATAAAACCTGGTGTCATTGCAATTTCACTCATAAAGGTAATAATCAGTTGTTCCACACATTGAGTTCAAATCCTCCTCCAATTTCTGCAACTGCGCATCCCTCTACTCAAGAGACTTGTTAAATTCAATTCAAAATGCCATATTACATACAGCCCTACAAGATAGCAGTGGTTCTAGACCTCTTTATGAGNGAGAGGAGTTTGTCAAAGGGAAGGTAAGACTTGGCCAGTGTTGTATTATGGCATTTTGGTGATTAATAATTTTGTGCTTATATTTTAAATTTCCAAGGAAGTACTTTTATAGTGAGTGGACTTTCACTCATTCCAGTCCAGATCTTGAAAATAAAAACTAGCCAGCACAACTAACTTTCTTTTGATTTTGCTTAATTTCCATCTATTAGAAGAACTTGGTAGCTCAAGACAGTATGACTTAAGTTACAGGCAAATTATTTTCTCTCATCCGTTGTCCTTTTGACATAGCCACCTACACAGACATCCTTTGTGCTTGTCACGCAATCTTTGGGGGCGTGTGTTATGAGCCTTTAGAACATCTGTGCCAGGAAGCTTCACTTTACACAGCCTTATTGAATAAATTTGCATCTGCAAAATAGCTAAGTAATGCTTGAAACTTCAATTGTTTTAATTCAAAGGAATACTTTAATGGTATCAACATGAACAGTTTTTCCTAGTTTGATTCTGTTTATTTTAAAAGTGGATGTTGTACGATTTTGATTCAGACATTTGAGGAAGTTGAGCAGTATATCTTGGGAGGACAGAAGTTACAAGGACCTCATACAGTCTATGAAGTTTATCATCTTCTTAAAGAGAAT